CTGCTCTGGTGACTTCTCAGAGCCCTATACTCCTCTCCCCAAGGATGACAGACAGCAAGATAAGATGGACACTGTAAAAAATAAATAAATAAATGGAGCTACTTTAAAATAGAGATGGAGCTGCCATCCCAGAGGTACTGCCTAGCACATCTTACTCCTCAAACCTTTGGAATGTTAAAACTGGGCAAAATAACCTTTGGACTGGGCCTAGAGCACAATTAATTATATACCAAATAAACTCTTTGCAAAAATAACAAGAAAGCAGATGTGATTACTACCAGTCTGAAAATTTAAAAAGCCAATGCCTTTCCCTTTCTCCTCCCTCTCTCCTCCCCCCAGGCACTTTACAATTAGCTTCCTCACTCCAAAGCTCCAAGGGCCCTTCCTTTGCCCCTATAACTTGTTCCCTAAGTCCATTTCTTTTAGGAATTACTTTTCCACCTCTGTGACTTAGCAAGTAAATGTTCTCTCGCTGTTTGGGTCTTGGCTCTGAATTCTTTCCTAGCCAGAACCCAAGTATTGAGGTTGCTGAACCCAGGTCCAGTGACCCCCACAGGCCTAACACCCAGTGCTGCTTCCCACCGCCTACGACAGAATGTACATACAAATCATTTGAGATGTTGCTGAAATAAAGAACTGGATTCAGCAGGTCTTGGATGGAGTCTGAGATTGTCCCTTTCTAACAAATTCCCAGATGATACTCCTTGCTCCTGATCTACAGACCACACTTCGTGCAACAAAGTTCTGCTCAGCAGACTGTCTGTAAAGGGACAGATAGTAAAATGTTAGGCTTGTGGGCAATAGGTTCTCTGTCCAACCACTTGATTCTGCCATTACAGCATAAAATTGGGTGGACAACATGTAACTAAATGGGTGTGGCTGTTTCTAAAAAGGGGACTGGCCAGGAGTGGGTCTGCCTCAGGCCAGCTGGTAGTGTGAGTACTTGACTCCGTTCAGGAAAGATTTCACAACATGAGTCCAGGTTATTTTTTTTTTTTTAATATATTTTTATTGATTTCAGAGAGAGAGGAGGGGAGAGGAAGAGAGAGATAGAAACATCAATGAGGAGAGTCATTGATCGCTGCCTCCTGCACGCCCCCTGCTGAGGATCAAGCCAGAAAACCGGGCATATGCTCTGACCGGGAATCAAACCGAGATCTCCTGGATCATAAGTTGATGCTCAACTACTGAGCCATGCCGGCTAGGCGAGTCAGGTTATTTTGAGAGTACGTTTATTAAAGCTGGGGACACAGAGGACACCCCACTGATAACAAAACGAGCCTAGCTGAGGCTGCTTTGGCTCACTAAGAAGTCAGAGAAAAGGGGGCCTTGGGGACAGGTTCAAGGGGTTCACCTGGGACAAGTTTATTTTCATGGTCCTCGGCATCTGCAGAGCTGTGGAGCTGGGCTCCGAGGGCAGGGCTGTGTGGTGCCTTGCATCTGTCGACCTCCTGAAGTCCCATTTACCGCCTTCAGAAAGCAGGTTCAGCTCCTGGAGAAGCGGAAGGTGTGATTAGAACGGCAGTGTTCCCAGGGAGAGTGAGAGAGCTTCGGAGCCCAGGCCGATGACATCAAACACAGTGATTTGTCTCTTGGCCCATTTGGAAAAAGAAAACAGTTCTAAGGAGGTTGGTGCCATTGTGCACAGTTTCTGTACCTTCAGCTCTCTCGTGTCAGAGGTCTTGTTCCTGTTCTGAAGGCTCATCAGGTTCTTCTTCCCTCTGGACGTAGAATTTAGATCTTCGATTTTGAAACCAAATTTGGATTCTTGACTCTGGAATCCCAACTTCCTTAGCAAGTTGCTCTCTGGAATCAATCCCAGGATATGGGTTGTTCTTAAATGCCGAGATGAGGGTGTGTAATTGGGAGGAAGTGTAGCTGATTCGCCGCCGCCTGCCTTCTCTGCTCGGAGTCTTCTCCACAGGCCGATCTTGGTCATAATCTTGGTCTCGGCTTGATTTTAAGTCCTCGGGTTCTGATCTTCTCTGGACTCTGTGCCTAGCTCTTCGATTCTGAAACCAAGTCTGGATTCTGGACTCTTCAATGTCCATTTCCAAAGCAAGCTTTTGCCTGGTATTGTAACCTGGGTAAGGTTCTTGGTTGAAGGCTTCGATGAGGATTTTCAATTGATCTTCTGTGAATTTGATGCGGGTGCGGCTTCGCCTAAGATTCATTGTGTTGGGAGAGCTGTCTTGAGCCATGTTGGAAGGGAGAAGTCTCAACCTTCAACCAGGAGTGGCTGAGGGTTTTTTAAGGCTGGGAGTTTAGGGGACATTTTAGGGAAGGATCTCAATAGAATATGCATCAGCTTTATGCAGCTACACCAAGATGAGATTTATTTCCTTAACTTCATCTGTCCTTGGGTGTGGTTAGCAAATGCTGCTAATTAGATTTCTGCTATCTATCTCCCTGACTGTGGTGATTTAAGCTATTCTCTGGTTGGGGAGGAGACATGTAAACCATTTATTCCTAAATGTCCTTGGTTAGGAAAGATAGTTTTTTGCAATTTACTAGATGGCTGTAGACTGCTTAGCCATTTATTAATTATGTCTCAGTTTCCCTATTCCACTTGTCCTGCCTTACTAACCTGTCTCAATACTTTGTGGACAAGAAAAATAAGAAAATACCTAATACTGTTTACATACTCATAGATATGAACTTCAGAGAATGGATACTAAATTCCCAAATCCATAAGGTCCAGGAGCAGAAATCCAAGTCCTTTCTTGCATTCATTATACAACCCCTCAAATGAAATAATAATAATAATCCAAGTGGGAATGAGACCCTGTTTATTTTGTCTAGGGAATAGTCATTAGGCCACAGCAGGGAAACAGGATCAACTCTTTGTTTGCCCAGGCTCTATCCACCTTCTGGTAAGTTCACTAGGGTTGCTGCCCCTGAAATGTTACCTAATAGGCCCTGATTGGTTCCTGGTGATACTAGGTGTTCATGCATTGTTAGATAAACTAAAATAATCCCTCTAAAAATTTCTAGTAGCTGTGAACAATATTGTGGACATTATTTTCCAAGTAGCAATGACAGTTTTCAATTACAAAGGGGCATTTGTCAAAAGTCTGGGATCAATGGGTAGAAAGTTAAAGGCTTCCATGATTAGAAAATTCTCAGTTTTAGAGGTAAAGCTTGAGCTATTAGCATTGACACTTACTGGTTGAACATCTCCCTCGGAAATACGACAGATAAGTATCAGGCAGAACTGAGGTAATGAAGTGATGGGATTAGGGTATTTCCTGAGATTTTGATACCTAACTATTTGAGGTTGACTTTCTGTTTATTGCAAAATGTTTTAAACGTTGCACAGGAAATTATAGAACTATAATTACCATGGCTAAAATTTGACTCTACCCATTTCAATGACAAAAGTAGGATTAGAAATTGGGTGGAAGGAGGGGGAGTTGCTTAATGATTTTTATCCCAGAAACTGGATTTAGGGGGGACTTTAAAGAATAGAAGTGAGATTCTTTTAAATTTGGCTTTTTTTTTTTTGTAAGTAACATTTCTTGTTTCTATTATGGTTATAAGCAGTGGTGATTAGCAATTCTTAAAGAAGGAGAGAGGTAGGAAATTCTGGAAACTGTTCACTCTCTCATTTTACTTTTGGTTGCCTGATTCTCTCCATTTCTATATGCTGACAAAGCACACTCTCACCCAAAATGGCCACAGAGTTTTCTTGTTCAAATCAAAATAACTATCCTTAAGCACTTCATTTTGGTGCTTGGATACAAAGCCTAGTGGAAAAAAATAAGTATTCTCCCTCTTTGAGGACAGGATGGTATGAAATACAAAGCAAAAGAGTGCAAGAGATTGACTGATTCAAAGGTTAAGTCATTTAAAAAGAAAAGAACACCGATGGGTTTTTGCCACATGTACTATGTGTTGAAAAACCTGGTGGTGATTGGTGGTAATGGTAGAAATAGTCCAGCACTAATAATCAAAGACCTGCGTTCACTCTTGGCTCTGCTACTTTCTGTTGTCAATCGCCTTAGACAATCGCCTCAATCCTTGGGCCTTATTTCCCTGGAATTTCAGACGGAGAGCAATAGTACCTACCTCAGAGAATTTTTTAGGCCTAATACTAGGTAATGATTTTTCTAAGCCCTTCAAAGTTACCCCAGAGATTCTTGTGAGTTTTTCCTGGGTTTTTGTGATGACACCACAGATCCTGAATCAATGGAACACGTATTTCTCTGTTCATTTCATTAATTTCCAGGAGTCAACGCTGGAAAGAACAAGGTTCTAGATAAAGTCTGTTAACAAAACTAAGCCAGCCCTGGTCAGGTAGTTCAGCTGGTTGGAGCATCCTCCCAATGTGCCAGGGCTGTGGGTTCGACCCCCGGTCAGGGCTTATACAAGAAGCAGCCAATGAATGCATAAATAAGTGGAAAAACAAATCGATGTTTCTACTTCTCTCGCTCTTCTCTCTCTAAAAAATCAATTAAAAAAAATAATCAACCATGAGTGGATGGAGCAACAAGTCAATGTTTCTCTCTCTCTCTCTCTCCCTCTCTCAAGTTTACATGTACATACACACACACACACACACACACATATATTCAAAACTAAGCCCAAAGGGTTTGGTAACCATTTTGAAAAAAACTTTGAAAAAGAGAGTAAATTTACTAAACTTGCCTTTTAGTTCTCTAATCATATAGAAACAAGACAAGAGCTAGCCCTAGACTCTAGCCCTTTAGAACTAAGCCAACACCCCAACTTAGGACTTAAGGCACTGCACTGTTGTTGTTTTTGCTTAGTGAGTAGCTAGGAAGGGTTGGAGTGCAGATGGAGAGAGAACAAAACTGTAATAACAGAGGTCAAAATTAGTGAAGAAAGAAAAAAACAGAGAGTAGATCAGCCTCTCTCTTCTGTGGAGATGAGATGCTCCTGGCGGACCCCAGGTGCTGCTCTGCCCCCGACTCCCCAGGAGGTGTGGCTTGCCCTCCTACTCGCTCAGCTGCCCTGAGCAGAGCCAACCACTGAGCTCATCCCAGACACACTCAACCCCTAGGTGCCTAGAAACCACCTATTCCAACGGTGGAAGGACGCAGCAGGCCTGTTAATACCATACTAAAATACTGACCACTTGTTATTCATGCTTGTCTCCTCCAGTGACCTCAATGGTCATTCATTAGAACACTCACTGGAGTGTTCACTAGGCGATCTTTTTTTTTTTTTTTTTTTTTAAGCTTTCTTAATTGGAAAAAGTCAGCATACAGGCTTCTATTGATTAGAGAATCTGGTCTCAGGTAGGTTTTTTTCTTATGTGTAAATGTAGCACATAATGAGTTTCCAAATTTATTTTCTTTTGGTTTATATGTATACTGGGCATTTCAAGTTAAAATATTCCTATCAACCTAAAACCCTGATTAAAACGTCTTCTCGCCCTGGCCGGTGTTGCTCGGCTGGTCGAGCGTTGTCAGTGCACCGAAAGGTTCCAGTTTGATTACCGGTGAGGGCAGAAGGCAGCCCACGGATGTCACACCAATGTTTCTCTCTCTCCCTTTCTCTCTCTCTCTAAAAATC